ACTTTAATTAGCCAAACAGGCCCTAACATCTGCAACTAAGTTATTTTAACATTATTCTAACAGAAAGCATCTAAGAATTAAAAGGCTAATAATAAAACCACCTTTTTACTGTAGTACGATCCAATTAAAAAAGTGGTGATTTCCATTACAGACTTGTATATTGTATAGTTCATAGCTCTTTCAGATCAGATCTAAGTTTTTCTGTTTCTCATTGGATAGGTAATAAAAAAATTTTGAATGCCAAACTGAAGTTTTAAGTCTTATAAATAATAGACAATATTCTTGAAACTGAAGCCCTCTGCATTATGTCCAACAGAAAAAAGCTGATATTTGATTCCCCTCATTCTTATTATAACAGAAGTTTTTTCCCCTCATAATAGAAGAACATGGTTCCTTTTTCTTGGTTACTATCATTCTTTTCAGAGTTATTAAAAAATACTACTGCAGGAAGTTTGTGAAGTCTATCATTCAAGGCTTTCTTCCAGGAATTGCATTGAAGATATTCCTTATTTTACTTCCAACAATACTGATGACCATGTCCAAGATAGAAGGTTTTACATCTCTGTCTTATTTAGAGAGGAGGTCAGCTGGGAAGTATCATCTGTTCATACTTGTGAATGTATTTCTTGGGAGCATAATAACAGGAACAGCTTTTGAACAGCTCCATCAGTTTGTCAATGAGTCTGCAAATGAGTAAGTTATATTTTTATCCCTTCTAAAAAAGAAATCCTCTCCTTCCTTGCTAACATGATTTGAGAGAATTCTATTTCTGACTAAAGCCATGACCCATTGTTGGAGTATACTAATTTCAATAGCATCAGTCTTCTTTGAGTACATCTATGATTTAATTCATTGTGGGTGAAAAGTACCAGTATTAATATAGGAGATTAGGACACCTGGCAGCCATTTAGAAATCAGGGCCCTCTTCAGTGCTTGACTGTTTGCTGGCATTTTTTATGATATTCTAACATGAGAGACTGTTCCTTTTGCAGAATTCCAAAAACAGTTGGTGCCACCGTTCCGATGAAAGCCACATTCTTTATTACTTATACAATGGTTGATGGTTGGGCTGGAATAGCTGCTGAGATTCTTAGATTGGTCCCATTGATTATATTCCACCTAAAGAATACATTCTTAGTTAAGACAGAAAAGGACAGGGAGCAAGCAATGGATCCTGGGAGTATAGCTTTTGCTTCGTCTGAGCCTCGGATTCAATTATACTTCTTGCTTGGACTTGTCTATTCAGTGGTGGCACCGATCCTTCTCCCTTTCATTGTCGTCTTCTTTGGTCTGGCTTATTTGGTTTTTCGTCATCAGGTATAGTATTGAGTAGAATTCATAATTTTTTTGGAGATTTGCATCATTTGAAATATACGGAGGATAACTGAAGGATTTTCTTATTAATGCTTGTTGTGCCTGCGATTTATAGTATTACAGAGTTATCTTTCAACTACAACCATGTATTAAGACTATTACTTTCGTTAACCTGTACATTCTTTATAGATACAAGAGAGTGAGAGACATTTGCATAAATAGAACCTCCTATAGGGGAAAAGTGGAAAGCATTAATATCTACTTATTTTTGAGAAAAAGGTAGCTGTTAAAAGGTTGTTTATGTATGTGTTATGTGAGTATTAGTACTGTAGGGGTACTATTATAATTTCCTGATTATATTATGATCGCCTTAATATAAATATGAGAGCTGGCGCCACCAGCTTAACCTTTTGGCTCTCTACTCTCTTCTCTCCTCTCTCTTTCCTCTTCTCTCTTCTTCCTTCTCTCTTCAGCCTCTATCTTCTCTATTTAATATGGTATCAAAGCGGGTTTATTAGGCTTGAAAAGGAGATCAATCAAGTTTTTCTTCCTCATCAGTTTTTTTTTGGAGAACCCAGATAACAGCATCGGACTGATCTAAGAAGCTTTTTTCTTTCTTTTTTTTCCTCTATTTCTTGGTCGTGTACCAAGACAAAACCTGTAACAAGTTCGACTGAATGATGTGAGGTGATCAGCACCTGTAGTTTCCCCTCTGTGTGGATCATGTGATCCTTGTGATATATTTGTAGGTCAATGATGACCTGTGTGTGCTGTAACAGCAACCTTGTGATGAGATTGTAGGTCTATGATGACCTATGTGTACTGCAACAGCAGTAAGATAATATCTAAACGTTTGTAGGGCTTCGTTGGGTCCAAAAGTTTGTACTTTCACAGTTTCTTGGTGCAGTTTTTTATTACTCCCAGCAGTAGTACATTGTGAGAAAGGGAAATAGTGTGGACTGTGAAAAAAAATAATAATAATTTTGTTGTGGTGTTGGACTGTTCTGCCCTTTAGTCTTGTGGCTATTTAGGAGTGATCTGAAGCAGCCTTCATGAGTATTGAAGACTCTGCCACATCTAGTGTTTTCTCAATGCAGAATGGGATGAGTGGGGGTATAGATTTATCCTTTCCTATGGCTGTTATACTTCTGGATAGACTAAATTATCTAGAATGGTTGAAGGGGATTAGACTGTACATTACTGCAAGAGGAAAAATAGGGTACATAGATGGGAAAATTAAAGAACCCAATTCTGGGAGTACAGAACATGACAGGTGGAAGTGGAACCAGGAAAACAGCATGGTAATGTCGTGGCTCCTAGTGTCTATGCAACCTCAAGTGAGAAGAAATTTTATGTGGGCTGAAACAGCTTATGAGATCTGGGAACAAGCAAAGTCAGCATATTCTGAGCTGCATCACTATGCAAAGATTTACCAGTTACAGACAGAGTCATCTACTTGTAAACAGGGGGAGAGAACTTCTTCGTGTACTACTCGGACTTGACTTCCATCTGGAAGGAGTTGGACCATTAGCAGAATGTGAACTGGAAGTGTGATGAAGATGCAAAAGCTTACAAGTCACTTGTTTCACAGCAGAGTTTTTGCCTTCCTCCTAGGTTTAAATCCTATTTATGAATCCATTAGGGTGAAAATCCTAGGAAGCAAGGATCTCCCATTTGTCCAAGAGGGTATATGCCCTAGTACAGTCAAAGGAAAGCAGAAGAAACTTGATGAACAATTCTGAATGGGATTCAGTTGCTTTGGCATCAAAAGGGAATGCTATTACAGGTGGGGGGATTCCTTTAAGGAAGGGGACTCTCAAAAAAGGGTGGACGATAAGGACAAACTGCGGTGTACTCATTGCAAGAATCCTCGGCACACACGTGATACTTGTTGGGAACTTCATGGGATGCCGAAGTGGGCTCAGGAGTTGAGCAAGAAATAGAGTTCAAATCAGAATAAGAAGCAAGGACATCAAGGTCCAAGGAAGTTCAATGTAGCAAACATGGCCTCTTAGGAGACAATTCTCTACTACTACTGTGACTCCAACGCATCCCTCTGGTTCTGATCCTCGGAAGGACATATTAATTCCTTAAATGACCATTTGGAGTTGTATGGTAGGGCAATTCGTCAGATGGACTCTGCCCCTTCTCCCTCAACCTCATTTGCATCTGTTGAGTTTTGGGCTGATATAACATGTTTTTTATTTACATAGCATAGTTAGGGAGTTATTGGGCCTTAGGTCCATTAGTTTATGTTTTAAGTTAAGAGTGTTTTTAAGTTCTCACAAGTAGTCGATTTACTAAGGGCATACTTGTCTTTGTACTCTCTTTTATTTATGAGTATATAATCTAATGAAGGGGGCGGCCAGACCTAATTCCAAGCTTCTCCCATTCTCTTCTATCTCTCTTCTCTCTCTTTCTCAGCTGAAACCTTTTCTTCTCTTTCTTTTCTTCTTTCTTTTACAGTTTTTTATATCAAAACAGGTCATCCAAACTTTTCTACATAGTATTAGAGCAAGTTTAAAGATTTTCTTGAGTTGCTCCATGCAGCCCTAGATCAGCCAACTGCATGATAATGTAAAGGGCTGATCGAAGACTTTAGGTAAGCCTAGTTTCTGGATTTTTTGGTGGAATTGCAATCCCTTGTAGCTTGTTGCAAAAGGATATACTCAGACTTATGGCATGGATTACTTGGAAACTTTTGCACCAGCGGTAAAGATGAGTTCAGTTTAGATTCTTCTATCACTAGCAGCTACATACTCTTGGCCACTCTTCCAACTTGATGTGATGAATGCCATTCTCAATGGGGACTTGTAGGAGGAGGTGTATATGGACCTTCCAGCTCGCTTCTACAATAATGTGGAAAAAGGAAAGGTGCTGTCATGGAGCCAATAAAAGATGACTTGAAGGTGTATATGGACCTTCCAGCTGACTTGAAGTCACCAACATTATTTGGAGGGACCAAATAAAAGTTGTTGTCATGGAATAAGTCTAGGAAAAACTGTTAGAGGTCGTGGGCAGTCAAGAAAGAAGAGCTCGAGGTCCGAGACCTCAACCCTATGGTCTCCATGCACGCAACAATCAATGGCCTCTTGCCGGGGTCAGCCCTCAAGTGCTCTGTTGCCAAGACATTGCCCAAAACCAAGGCGGAATTTTTGAAGAAGGCTCAGAAGTACATCACTGCCGAGGAGGCCTTAGCCGACGAGCACCAAGAGGGAAAGGCCGACCACAACTGTGGAGGCTCGGTGAAGAAGAGGAAAAATGGAGACGTCTACGGCAACAACAAAGATGGCAACAAGAAGCCGTTAGCCTTAACTTATAACAAGTACACGCCACTCAACTCCACCCGAACGCAAATCCTCATGCAAGTAGGGAAAGAGGAGTACATGAAGTGGCCAGAGAAGATGAAGAGGAACCCTAAGAGGGGTAACCTGAAGAAAAATATTGCAAGTACTACCACAGCACCGACCATGACATCGAGGACTGTTATGACCTCAAAAATGAGATCAAGTCCCTCATCCTCCGTGGTCATCTGAAGGAATACGTGGGAGGCGACGCCGACGCCGACGCCTCATCCTCATCTGGAATCATCGACATAATCATCCGGGGCTCATCCTCGGGTGGTGCCTTAGCCTCGGCCCGCAAGGCCTATGCCAGGCATCTTAACATCCAGGGGCCAGCTCCCAAGAAGCCAAAGCAAAATGAAGCCCTCAACTTCACGGACGAGGACCTGAAGGGGGTGTCGGTCCCCTATGATGATGCATTGGTGGTGTCGATGACCATCACCAATTATTTAATGAAGAGGATTCTGTTCGACAACAGCTTATTAGAAGACATCCACTTCCAAGGCGCTAGAGCACCTTCAGCCGGCCGACGTGCCACTCGTCAAATTCTCCGGGAATGTTGTCAGATTAGAGGAAAAAAATCACCCTACCCCTCACCGTAGGGACAAAGCCTCCGTAGGTGATGAGGATGACTGAGTTCCTGGTCGTGAGGATCAGCTCCCCCTACAATGCTATCATCAGGAGGCCAACTCTTCAAGCTTTCAAGGTGGTCATCTCCTCCTACCACCTCTCCATGAAGTTTCCCACCGAGCACATGTTAGACAGTGTATGCCCTTATCTCCAATCAGCATGATGTACATTATGTTATTTATTATAAATGAATAAAGTACATATTTGATTCATGTTATTATGGTGTGTTTCTGTGTAATACCCTTAAACTGGACACATATGAGATTCGTGTTAGTTTAGAATCTTCATAGTCGTTGGATAGATCTAAGGAGATTTATCCTGCCAAGGCTGACACTGATGTGCCACCAAGTTGGTTGGGGTGGCTTGTCTCAGCTGCCAGGGTAAGACCTGAGGTAC